ATAATAATAATAATAATAATGATGATGATGATGATGATGATGATGACGATGATGATGATGATGATGATGATAATTACATTTCTATAGCGCTAAACTATAAAAATATTGTAAAGCGCTTTACAAAATAGTTGAAATTTATAAAATGTTAAGACGATTAACTCTTTAACGATAAAATGTTAAAAACATTAAAACAAATTCTAAGCTAGCTTGAACAGGCGTGTCTTCAACTTTGATTTAGAAACAGTAACACTTTAACTGTTTCAAGTGTTTCAACTGGCAGTTTGTTCCGGAGAAATGGCCCAGATTGGGCAAAGGCGCGATCACCAAAGGTCTTGTAATTAGTTATTGGGGCCTTAAGGAGGCCCTGGTCGCAGGGACGTAGGCGATGAGCTGTAATGGAATGGGCTTGAAGAAAGTCTTTAATGCATTGTAGGCTTTGATTGTTAAGAGCTTTCTACTAAAAGCAGCAATTTAAAGTGGATGCGATAAGCCACAGGAAGCTATTGGAGATGAAATAATACGGACGAAATGTGATCAAACTTGGGAATTCAAAAGATTAATCAGCAGCGTTGAGCACCTTTTAATGATGGGGGATAACCATGCGATGGACTAGCATCCAGTCCAGGGGAAGTGGAAATCCTCCTAGTCACATCATGCTACGGAAACCGGAGATAAGTGCCGGCCTGATGAGCCACTTGACTCGTATGCAGACTCAATCTTTTTACACAGCCATTTGACTGTGCTATTGAAAATTTTTGAGAAAACGAGCTTTGAACTTACAGAAACAGAAATTCTCAATATAAAAATTCAATAAATTCGATTTTTTTTTACAGAACTTTATGTGTGTACCCCCGTCGTGAGGCAGTGTCCACACTACGCCGAAGAAATTTGAAAACGCTGCTTTATTTTTAAAAATTTACGCAAAAGCGAATAACTCTTGTTGTCGAGAGGTTATTTTGGCAGCTAGAACGCGTGTTAGTGGTCGCTGCCGTTGTGAAGAGTCCGCCGTTGTAAAGAGGTTGAAATAAGAGTGAATGTATAGACCATCCCCGGGGATAAAAAAGGAGCCATGGAGGTTCGACTGTAAACAATCAATGAAAAAAACGAAACAAAACAAAAAAAATCAATCAATCAACACTTCATTTAAAGACGTTGCCCCTAAAAGCTAAGTAAGCCTAATCAAAATACGAACGTGTATGCAACTAAAAAAAAATAGAGAAAACAAAAGATGTTTACACGGGTGTGCCTTTAACGTAATAACCGTTATTTCTGGGGGGTTTTCTTTCTTTAGAATTGTGAAGACCGGCTCGTTAGGAAAAACATTTCTTTTGAACAAGATAAGATAAGTTCAGAAACGAAATCAGTAAATTGCCTCAGTGACGGGGATGGAAATAACTAAAATATAACTAGGCCTTCATGTTCCACCAGATTCTTATAACCAACACTAAAGAAATGATGCCAGCTGGTAAAGAGAATTTATTTTTAATCTTTGGACTCCAAGGTTTGTTTCAACTTAAGAGGAGATTGATAGACAACGCTTGCAGAATAAGAACGCCCCCAATATCCCTCAATACGGACCGAAAGAGATTTTTCTTTGAGGTATTTCTTACTGTGTTTTTCTTACTAGGGCGCTGACGACCAAGTTTAAGGTGGATCAAAACAGTTTCCAGCACTTAGATTTTGACAGGCGTTATAACCACTCTTTATCACTTGATGCTAAAATCATGGTATCAAAACAACTGCCCAATCATTGATGAACACGTTGTCATCATTTTCGTGACACAAAGGCTACCATAGCAACAGTATGACCTGCTAAAAACACCGTTAATTACAGCGTTAGGGGCTTATAATTCAAAAACGGCACGGTGAAATTTTTTTTTATATTACCAACTTTTGATAATCATGACAAGACGCAACTTTTGGCAAAGTTTTAAAAAAGTCTCTAGGTAGGGTTCAGACAGAAAGGAACAGAAAGGAACAGAAAGGAACAACATTGCTACTTGTCAAGAACAGGTTTTCTTTCGCGGAATAATTGAAAATCAATTCGCCGAAACTTATACCAGGGAGCCAATTAGAATGATCTTTCCATGGAGAACCTATGAGCCATATAATAATAACAATAATTGGTATTCAAATTCTCTGTAAAATATTACCAGCGTCTCTAACTGATGCCGATCAATTAAGAGAAAAAAAATTAAGCCATGGCCATGCGTGAAACAACAGTTGCCAACTCCTGCAACGATTTCCAAATACTTTAACATGCAAGTAAATTTCTTATCCTATCATCTTCATTGTCTAACCAGCGTGGATACGAGGAAAACTTTAGCAACGTCTTGTGTTCCTCTGTTGTTGATTTGTTGTTTCTTGAGAAGAAATGCGTAAGACATCATCTAAAAGGGTAATTGTGGAAGCAGTATTTTGCTGATCTACAGCTGTAGGTCTGTAGGCCCGGTGTTTGAAGTTTATTTCATACAGTTTAAGATTTAACAAACTAGCATCATTTTATCGCAACCCAGTCAAACATATCTAGATTAATAGGGAATGAATCTTTAATTCCTCCTATTTCCTACCGGCTTCTCGACTGATCTGAAAAAAATCCGTTGGGGGTAACCAATATAAAGCCAATCGCAATTTATTTTTTAAACTCTAAAATGTCTCCAGTTAATAGAGGCTTTATAGGGATCCTTTCTGAATTTTCGATGAACAACAGCGGGAAACAAATTATGCTGGTGAGTTGTTGTTGTTGTTGTTTTTTTCTTGAAAATCACGGTGTGGGTACTGTTTTGGCTGGCAATAATAAATTTGCTTTTCACATTTTAGCTCTAAATTGCCAGGGCTTCTGTCCAATTAAATTAATAGACCCCTATAACGATGCATGATATACCATTTGAAAGCTATTGACATGCGTATTCTTAAAATGGCATCAATAACCACTAAGGAAGTTACAGCTTTTACTAACAATGGTTGGAAAAGAAAGAAAGAAAAAGGCATAGGTCGCACTAGAGCGAATTTTTTTTTTTGGTCGGTCCGAAAGACCCAAAAATATCTTGACTTGCCAATTTTTTTGGGTTCGTTTTCTGGTCGCACGTGAAGCGACACGACAAGGCTAAATTCTTGTGTAAACACTGATAAAACGCTTTTGTAAACAATGATGCTTTCCCGTGAAGCCATACTGTCCATAATTTTTCTTAAATAGACACGCAGTTGACATGTTTAATGAATTTTTGTTTTCTTTGGGCGATTTTGGAAAAATCTGCCTGCCCCACCCATACACTACGGCGTCTTTGATCTTCTTGGTCCACTGACAAATTTTTCCAAATTTTGTTCGTAGGGGTCGCATTAGGAAAAGCTCCAATTTTGACCCAATTTTTGGTAAAACAAACAGAATTTGCTCTAGTGCGACCCATGCCTTTAATTCTAAAAAGTCGAAATCTTCATATGTATATATTTGGTGCTTCCTTAAACTATACCTTATTTTACAGCACTCTATGAATAGGTTAATAACAAATGCATTAAAGACCGCATAATCATTGTAGAAAAAGGTTCCAAAACTTCCAGGGGTACGTGATGAACTATATGTATTGGGGAGGTTCACAACTTTTTGTTTTCAATGTGATCTTGACAAGATCATTTCGGCGCAAACATTTCATCGAAATCAGACAGATTTAAACCTGAACCAAACAGTGTCGTCAGAAGCTCCTAAGTGCTCTCTCATGGCGAAAGGATTAAGACACTGTTTGGGATATTTGCAAAGGGTCCTCGCTAATTTCTCCTAAACTGGCTTTGTCTAAAGAGCGAGTAGAGCAAGAAGAACACACGAACGTGACTCGGGATTTTACTGCTCGCCGATTAGCCAGATTCTATAAGCTTGGTTCAGTAGATTTCAAGTCCTCGTGGTTACCGGTTTGATTTTGTTTTGTCTATTATCAAGGAAACGTGTGATCAAGAGTTCAGGAGAACATGTGCTCGTTTGCTCAAGATCTGGACTGCTCAAATGTTCAAAAAAATGACTGCGGGAGAGAACTTCAAGATCAGCAAAGATATGATATAAATGGCGCTCAATAACAAACATAAGAAGATCCCGCCAGAAAAGTGTTGAACTATTTTCGTGTCGCACTCGTCCTGCAAACAACTGCAAACAGAGAATAATGAAGAAACAGATGTTTTCATTCGCCTTTCACAAAGTAAATCTTGTCCCATGCTTCCTTTTCATTATCTCATTTTACCAAAGAACCCCGAAGAACGCCAAGCATTAATTTAAAAAAAAAAAAACGTTAAGAATAGATCAAATAAATGACTCCACAACGCACTATTAATAAATTGCCTCGCAGCGGTACGAAAATCAATGGAATTATTATGGCCTTTACATGCTAGCAACTTCTCAGAACGCGCATTAAAATAATTTTACGTTAGTTAGTACAAGAAAATAGTATTCGATCTTTCCACTCAAAGGTCTATTTTAGGTACACCTTCTGCCCCTCCCCAGGGCGGTCTCTGGACTATGATGTTTTGAAGCCCTTGTTCTCCGACACAGTCTGTCCTGCATATAGCACGCAGGGGACCAATTAGAGTGCTCCTAATCTCTGTAGAGCAGTCTGACAAATAAGGATAGTCTTTGCTCATTTGCTATTCAAAATGATACTGGTTTATCTACCTGATGACAGTCAATAAAGACAGAAAAGGATTCAAGCCAATTGCCATGGATAAAACAACAGCTGCTCACTGCTTGAACTATTTCCAAGACACTTTTATATGACAGTAAATTTCTTAAGCCATCATCTTACCGTCGAGATGAAGAAAACCGTAGTAACGTCTTGTGTTCTGCTGTTGTTGATTTCGTCGCTGTTGTTAGTCGACAGCGGTATTTTGGCAAAGCATAAACGTCGTGGATCATCTAAAAAGGTAATTGTGGGACCAGTATTTTGTTGATCTTGTTGACTAGGCCATTTTGTTCCCGTTAAAGATTAAGATGCGGCATTTTGCCCTCATTTTTATCGCAACCCAGCTAAACAAAGTTTATCTAGATAACAGGAGACTGAGTTCTTAATTTCTATTACATGTTACTTGCCCCTCTTCAGATTTGAGAAGAATACCGTTATGTTAACTAAAGGTTAATATCGATTTGATATTTAACACTCAAACGTCTTCAATTTATAGAGGTTTTATCGGGATGGAGAATTTGAGGCCCTTTCAGAATTTGTCACGAATAACAGCGGGGAACGAGTAAGTCTTACCAAACCACAATGTCGTCCTTATTGTGCTTTTCAGTTAAAAATTTCCCAACAACGAGACGCTTGGAGAGTAACAATACGCCTTCGGCGTTTTCTTTCCTCTATAGGACAAAATGTCTTCAGTCATTTGGAAATAATAACGTCGCTTTGATATCCTGTTAAGAATATTTCCAAATGGTCTGTCGCGATAATTTCCCCAAATTTGGCTTTGTTAAGAGCATATAAGTAACAAGTGAAATGACTAAAGTCACAGAAAAAAAGTTCTCTTAACTAGAAAACTTAAGAATCCAATATTTGAAGAGAAGTTATGTAGAGCTTAGTGTAATCGATTTCAAAGACTGAGTGTTATGTCGGTGATTGTTCTGTTCCTTATCTAGGAGCTTAGCGACCAGGAATTCAGAAGAAACATTTGTTTGTCTGCCCGTGAGCTGGACTGCGAAAGAGAACTTCAAGATCAATTAAGATCTGTTTCAACGGATGCCCAAATAACGAAAAAGCGGAAACCTCACCAGTAAATCATTCTGATGTATTCTCTTCTCGTTATTGTTATTAAACGAGCTGCAAATAAGGAATAAAGAATAGACAAAACAACTGACAGGTGTTTACCTCGTGCTTGTTTTCAATCAAATCAGGGACTCTTACGAGCAAGGAGTGGGAAGAACATTTGAAAGGAGCCAGGCGGAAGAAATTAAGAAAGCATAATCCTCGAATTGCCTCTGAAGTGAATATGAATTCTGATTTTTTTTTTTTCTTTTTTAGTAGACACTATATGATTGCAGTCCAAATCCTTGGACCCTAAACTAATTATCAAGAGTCAGTAAAGGGTTATGGTAACACCGAATAGGCAACATCGAGAGAACCATTCAGATATGTGTATTTGCAATAGACCGGGCTGAGAGCGCTTTTCTCTCGACCAAAGATTCCGGTTTGAATTTTCGGAACTTTCCAGTGGCGAGTGACAAAGAATTTCCCGGAATTTCTGGAAAAGAGGACAACCTTGCAAAGCAGACCCACATTTTCGAAAATTTCTTACCAGAAATTTCTGTTATACTGTTTTTTTTTGTTTGTTTGTTTTTTGTTTTTTTTCAGGAATTTGCGAAATCTTCTGTCGAGTCATGACATTTCGAAAATTGAACAATTTTTGAATTTTCCAGAATATTTTCAAGGTAATTGCCATACTATTTCCCCTTGGTTCGATTGTTCCGCAGTTTTTTGGTGGAATGGAAGGCTCTTTCAATGTCGATTAAATCTTGATTTATCATGAAAAAGTTTTCTCCGTTTTTTTAAATGTAAGACAAGTTTTAGTATTCTAAATGTGATGACATGCCTAATTAACAAAAAAACGGCGGGCATGGTAATAGGTTGGCCATCAAAGCACATGCGACAACCACAATTTCTAAGTTCTAATCAGTTAGTTATATTAGGACCTTTTTTGTGGAAACAAAACAATATTTCCAAATAAAAGGCATTGGTCATAAGCTCACGAGAAAAACAATAAATCAGACAAAAAGAGTTTTAAAGACATCGTCACAAACATTTGAATAGACAAACTTAACGAAAAAAAATTCATTTAAATAATATCTCTGAGAAGGAGGCTTGGATCAATGCCACACGATCAGATGCACTGAGCTCCCCTAAAGAACAAAAACGATGCAACAACACAACTAGTAAAAGATGATTAACTTCCAAAAAAGCAGTTAAGCTGTTCTTGATAACTTTCGTTATGCCCACTCCGCTGCTCGGCTTCCTGTCACCCCAACTTAACGCGCCTGCGTACCCATGGCAAATTACATCTTCACTTGGTATCATGTGCTTTCACCGTCTTAAAGAAAGACCTGCTCGATCGGTGATATACTCAATCCATGGCTACGGGCATCCTGACGAGAATGCGCTAGAGGTGGATTGGCCATGTCACTCGCCAAAAAGCACCCTACAGAGGACTCCAGGTGGAATCAAGACACCCCAGAAAGTCATCACGCCAGAGTACAGCGAAATCTGTAAGGGAACATACAGGCGTTTGGTAAATAGCCATAAATTCTTGAATGCAGAGACAAAACAAAATCTTGACATCCTAAACTATACGTCTTCTAATGGATGACTAGATTATCTGACATACAGCAGGACCAAAACGCCAATCTAAATGGCCAATATTTTGCAAGTAGGGCTTGTTGTTCACGTGGATAAAGCAGTGAATCGTAAGGATGATTTCAGAAGATGTTCAACCGCAATTTTATCAGCTACTTTCATTTCTCTGCTTTTTGAATCAACGGTTTGGTTTTCGTAATATATATTGAAGCATTTTCCATAAACTGTAAACGTGGCGCATAACTCTGCACTTTGCATAAGTGACAACGCATTGATACCAAGCCTACAAGAACAAAAGGATTCTAAATTTTGAGTCGTATTGTATTGGATGTGACCCTAGACGGATTCGTCGTACCAGCATCGTAGAGCCAATAATGCGCCATAATATTTTTCAAGAACATATCTGGCAGTTCAATAAGATTTCAGTGCATACAGTTTGAAAGCCAGTTGCAAGAACAATATAATCATGCAAAGTATTGCGCAGGCAGTCATCCTACCATATCTGAGGTTTGCGGCAGCGACAACAGAGTATCAGGGATCAAAGTGTGACTCTTAGGGCAAAATTTGTGTTTAAGCGCCTTGTTATCCAATTTGGGCTCATACTGAGATCGGGCCGCCCATCAAGTGGTCGTTTACCGTATGTTAAATAGTTGACAACAAGCACATCCTAGAAGGGTTGTCGTCGCTTACGAGTGGTGCCAACACAGAAAGGTCAGTCGACGGTGACAGAAATCCCAAGGGCGTTTAAAAGAACCTTTTGACTTAATTAAAGGAACTAAGTATCTTATTTTTCGGGGCTTGTTTGAAACAAATAATTTGGAGGCACGCTGAATAGCAGTGGAGAACTGCATATCCTATTCGCTCCTGGTGGGGCACGAGGTAGCAATGTGGAACAAATCACCAGTAAAACTAATATTAAGATCAGTATTTTAAACATACTAGTTCTACTAAATATAATAAAGCCAAGAGAAAAGAGTATGTGGTGGAGATTTTTGTTTGTTTGTTTGTTTGTTTGTTTTTGTCTCTTTCTTCTCGTTTTATTCCCTGTCTTTCTTCGGCTTGACTTAACTTCTCAAAACATACGAATAATTGTTTAATTTATCACATAAACCGTTCGTTGTGATTCGTGAATTTAATTAATGCAGGATTCAGATTTTCATAAAGTGAGACACTGGATCAATCAGTTAGGATCAACTAAAACAGAATTTATGAGTTATGCCCTCTCGGATTAACTTTGTTGCCATGCATCTTGCTGTAGACGTGTTACCGCTGTACATCTGTGACCAAAATTTGTGTGTGTTTGAAAAATCTTTTAGTCTATATTCTTTCTTGACACTTGCTCGAAAACAATCACACATGATATTTTCCACAGAACGAAACTTTTCTTACCAAAATAATTAGCCGAAATGTTTAGGATTTAAAAATGTATTAACCCTTTACTCCCCAAGAGTGCCAATCAGCACACAGCGTCATTTAACTTTGTGAATATTGTGACACCCTCCTATCTAAGACATGGTTGACCACCCCCACAAGTTTTTAGTTCCTTTCTTTGGGATGCAAATGGAATGCAAGACTTGTTTCATATCAAGTTATGCACAAAGAGCTGCCAAGTAAGCTATAGTTTAGGGGTAGACCAGATATAGTAGAAGGTTGATACAATTTTAAAAGTCGTTCATTTTCGCATTTTAAAGTTATTTCTCTCAAAGTGACTACCTCCTTCATAGCTGCTGATGTCAGTTCAATTGGAATATTGTACAGAGGCAGAGTGTCTTTATTTGCCGATTTGGTTAAAACAGCCGTTCGCGTTGAGGGGTAAAGTTGAAGGGTGCTGGTAAAATTGAAGAATATTTCATAATGTTACTCATTTTCAAATAAGACTTGTTTTGAATGATTATACCTTTTCATGATCATGCAGGAATCCATGAGAATGATCGGGTTTTTCGGCTAATTTCAGTTTCATTTCCGTGAAAACTTTCCCCTGACGTTGTTGTAAGCGTATTTTGCGTTCTTGAAGGCAAATGGTGTGTTTATATGATATAAGCCGAAACAGTCATAACAAGTGGCTAAGTGATATTTCTATCATTTTTTCTGCATTCTGTGGTTCTTTATATTGTTTCTGCTGTTAGCACTTTGCCTTTGCTAAATGGAGTTCACGTACCTTAGTTAACCTCGAGTTAACCTCGAGCTTACCACAATATCATACAAGTACACATGTAAGTACACAGTATTTTCACTCTGAAATATTGAAATATTAAAAGCTCAGTAAGCCTGTATTTATCCTGTTTATAAACCACATTTCACGTATTTCTACTATGTTAAGCTTGCCTATGACGCATAACTTATTAAATATTGTATTAGCTAAGTCAGAATATTCGTCACACACTTTACATCGCAGGAAGACTTGGCCAATCTCTGACAGCAAACTCAAAGCAGTTTTCAAATATTATGGCCAGAAGCTTTATTTGGTTCCAGGTTCCGCATACATAGATGGTTAACACCTCACATTTATAAAAAGAGTTCAATGTAATTAAAACTCCATAGACTGAGTTATCAAGCACTCTAGTTGACTCATAGAGCTATTCTATCCTAGAAGACTTCAAAGATTTAAGTGGTAAAGGTAAGATAAGGTTTGAATTACATGCTTCTCTCAGTTGAATTGCTGGGAATATATCACAAGGCAAGCGAATCTCAGAATTTTAAAGCAGTACCAATGTGTGTTTTTACGTAACTAGCGAGGTAATGTGATAAGACATTCCTCAACACGAGAAAGTCTTTAAGTTAGGGAAAATCAACGTTCGTCTCAATCCTAAACATTAGCCAAATTTTTTTGTTAAACCTCTCAACTTATGATTTGGTATTTTGTTAAAATCGCGGTGAACGAGAAAGATAGCTCAGGTACATATAACTTGCTGTATCTTCATCATCGTATTTTATTCATTCAGTATATTCCTTCTCGACTAATTAAAAATTATTAAAAGCTATGGTGAGTCAATGGGTTCTTTAGAGGAGTACAATAACCATCTGCTGTGGACTGCGATCAGAGCGCCGCATTGAAATGTTGTAGTGATAGCACTATCGTTAAAAGAAAAGTAATTGTCTTTTTCGAGTAAATCGGTTACAACCTATATATGGTTGTCTTATTTTTTCCTGTTTAGAGGTGGATTACACCAAAAAATTCCTTTATGTAAGCAGCTTCTCGTGTTATTTATAATAGCACCTGATCATTATTTCTGGTTTCGTCTGAGGCATGAAAGGATCCGGGTTTCCAATATTAATAAGCCTAAGAATATCTTCAGCTTTTGTAATTGGAATAATGGATTATAGCTTCCAATTAGAAGAGAAAGTCATCTCTGGTGAGCAAATTGGACGGACGAGGCTAGTAACCACGTATACAGCAAGTGTTGAATTGTTCGTTTGAGTACACAAAACGTATTATTTTACATTGTTTATCAATAATTTTCAAGTGTCACATGTTAAATTCAGCGCGAGTAAATCGGTTTCTACCTATATATGGTTGTCTTATTTTTTCCTGTTTAGAGGTGGATTATACAAAAAAATTCCTTTATGTAAGCAGCTTCACGTGTTATTTATAATAGCACCTGATCTGAGGTCATGAGTTTCCATGCAAATCCATGGTGTCCATATAAATCCCGTTGGAATCTAGACTGATTTTTCAGGTCTCTTTGAAATTGTATGATTGCAAACACAACTCCGAGGAGTTCATTACTTTCCTGAGTGTCTTAAAAAAACTGATCGGTAGTTTTCTCCACAAGTAATTTCCTACTTATTCTGAGCTGAAGAATATCGTTCATGAAACCGAGCTCTTAGTTACGGATCGTCTCGTTAAACATTCGGGTTTCACAGTAGCGGTGAATTCTGGGTAACAGAGTACACAACAGATACTACG